TATATATTGTATATATATATTATATATTGTATTGATTAATATAAGTTTATTTCATGCTTTAACCTGTTAGATTTTCTGTTCTCCTGTTTTTGCTAATGGTTTTTAAAATGCGGTCATTATAAAATGTTCTTTATCTTTCAGAGGTTTTGGTTGAAAATCAACCTGAAAATTTTGCCCTTATTGTATTTTTTTGGCACCTGTCTTCTTAATTAAATAAACTTGAGGTCCAGAAGGATTATCTGAACATTAATATAATACAAGAAGTTACATTTAACTCCATGTGAAGCCAGCCCAAATGGATTAATCTGAAGGTGATGTGAGCTACAGTAAAATCTAAATCTCATGAGCTTTATTAAATGAGTCGGATGATAAATAACATGTTTGATTCTTATCAGAGTCAGAGTTTCTTTATTGTCATTCGCACCTCATGTGGTACATGTGGTGGAGCGAAATTATGTACACAAGGTCCCAGTTACATCCAACAATAAAATTTATAAGAAAAACAGTAACAACATCTAAGATATGAACTAAGAAAAACATCAACTAAATATACACTAAGCACTCAAAACATAAAAACATTGAACATCAGCACAAACATGAAGAGGTTCACATTATGAAGAGGTTTAGGAGTATGTGTGTGTTTGACTGCTGGGATTTCCCATTCTGATGATAAAATCTGTCAGTTTAATTTGATTTAAAATTAAAAGTTGCTGCTCTGAGGAGGCCGTAAACCACCGACCTGTATCAACTTTATCTGATATTTACAACCTCATTTAATGTCACCAATGTTTATTTATACATGGTTAATTTAAGCATGGATACAAGGGCAGAACAAATTGTCTGTTTTGGACTTCATTTTATTAAAAATAGTTATTTCTGAGATTATTCTGTGTTTTTTTTTTTTTTAAGCATCTAAAACAAACCAGCAGGGATTTCAACCAACGACTGCATGAGCGCAGGCCAAAACCTTCAAGTTTTCTGTTTTTATTCATTTATAGCTGCACTTTACTTTTAAAATACACGGTACTTGTTTTTTTATTTACAACTCTATAATTCTGTAAAGTAAAAAGTAAATATTATTAAAAAGTAAACACATTTTATACATTTAAATACATTTTACAAAGGATGGAAATCAAAGCGTCATCCTGTTTGATTCAACGCCCCTGCTGCTCTCTTTAAAGGGATAGTCTGGATATTTTGAAGCTTGTTCTGCAGGAAGGTTAGAACATTATTTTACCTGCTTTAAACACCTCACTTTAGAGAAATAACACTTTAACTGACTGGATCAAAGTGGTAAGAACCACTCCGAGCAGGCCCAAGACCAAAGCTGCCATTTTAAAACAACTTCAAACTCCAAGCATTCAGGAGTTCATGCGAACAATTAACAGATGTTTAACTGTCGTCAATTTTGCATCACAACTAACATCTGTGGTTATCTATGAGCACAAATTCTGGTCAAAAATATTTTGTGCTTGTAGTTTTGTAACCTTGTAAAATAAATGTGTGGATGCGTGGATAGAAATGTGTGTGTGTGTGTGTGTGTGTTAGGCCCATTTTTCCAACTTGGATCAACTGCTCCTTATGGGACCCAAAGCCCGGGCCCCATAAGAAGAAGTGCCGTTGGTGGGTTAGGGGTTAGGTTTAGGAATAAAGTGTGAATTGAGGATGTGTTAGGTTTAGGGTAAAGGTCAGGGTTAGGCTATAGAAATGAATGAAAAATAAATGGAAGTCAATGCAAAGTCCCCATAAAAATAGCAAAACAAACCTGTGTGTGTGTGTGTGTGTGTGTGTATGAAGGTCTGTTTACAGATGCAAATCAAGAAACTATGTGCAAAACTCTGCCGGTGTTTTGACCAGATTTTTTTTCCCCTCTCTGCTGATTGGTCAATGTCACAAATTTAACCATCCAATCAGAGAACAGATAAGCTTGGCTGTTGGGTGGCGCTTTGCTGAGCCATAAGTTCATAGCATCATAGCATTCATTTAGTGCAGACCTGGGCATTGTACGGCCCCAGGGCCACATGTGACCCTTTGGTTAACTCTGACCGGCCCCCGTAAGGGGAATTACAAAATACATATGTAAACAAATGAAGTTAACCAAATCCAGATATAGATCCTCTCTCAATGATGATGTCAGCTTTGCTTCACATCTCCACCTCAGACCTTCAACCTGACTTTAACATTTCTGTTAAAGCCCAACAGAGACTAGACTTCTCTCACTAAACAAGAAAAAAGAACTGGTAAACACCAAATGAGATGTTTAGACTACTAATGTAGGCACGTAAAGAACCGGGACTGGAAATCACAGTTCAGTGACGATCACTATTATATGATGTTTCATAATATTTGGAGTACAAAGACAATATTGTGATATATTTAGAAAGCTAAGAACTTTTTCCAGCAGTATATAAAACTCAAAATGAGTTTTGGGGTGAATGTGACTGAAAATGATCACTAATATAACGTCACAAATGGTAAAAATGTTAACAGTTTACCATTGTATTGGGAAATTTAATTGAATAAATTACATTTTTGTAAGGAAACCTCGCTTTTTCGTTGCTTAATCATAACAAATACTCTTACCAGCTTGTTAAAACAGTGCTATGTACTGCTTTTAATAATGAAATACTATTATTATGCAGTATTGAGTTAAGTTGAAATCAGGTCTCATCAGGTTGAATGAAAAAGTCATTTGTGCCAGTCCTCCACAATATTTGTTGTTTCTCATGTGGCCCCATGGAAAAAATAATTGCCCACCCCTGATTTAGTGGAACATAAACAAAATCATTGTCCAGATATATTTATGAAAATCACATTTGGTTACTGCGGATAGTTTTTAGTCACGTGACCCGTTCACTACCCTGCTGAGTAAAACACACAATGTAGTGATAAATATGTGGAGGTGAAGAAACAGGTAATGTTGACATCCACAGGAGTACACTCATCTTTGTAGCAAACATTTGAGCAAAGGTAAGATTACAATTACTTTGTGGTTTTTGATTCAGGTGTTTAGTTCTGTGTTTTTGTTGCTACAGTTTTATGTAACAAAGATTAGTGGATGAGCTCTAATAACACAGTGTTGAAATCATGCTAATGCTAAGACAAGCTAAATGCTGTCAACATGAACTCAGGAAGCTTTCTAACTGAAGCTAACTAGTTTTACATGACGTCATCTCTCTGTTCATAATGTTGTGTAAACCATTTAATGACTCATGTATAAGTACCAGCACCAATTAGATAGAAAAGTCTGTCATAGTTTTACATTCAGCACGGATTAAACAAAAAAACCACATCGAACTGTACTCATAGTGTGCCTTTCTAATCAACCAGGACACTCTAGTATCATTATTTCTTTTTAAATAAACATTTAAAAAATATTCACATGAAACTGATGAAAATGTGAGACTGGATTAAAGGATGGTGGCTTCAGTGTGGGCTTGCTAGTTTGATCAGGATTGGACTTTATTTATTCAAAGTGAGGCAGTTCAAAGAGCTTTTTACAACAGTTCAAATGTGAATTGTTCATAACATTTTTACAGAAAGCTCACTTCAACCCATTTCAACCAGTGCTCCAACTGATTTCCATAGCAGTCAACTCTCCTGTGATTGTGTTTTGTGTCTGCTGCAGACGATCAATATGAAAAATAAACGAATGTTAGCTGAACACAAAGTATGACGGACAGTTTGTTTCACACAAGGATCTCAAAAGAAAAGTCACTGTAAAAACAAATATGTGTGATATAAAATCTGAGGTAATATTTTGCACAAATCGGTGCCTTTCCATTATAACAAGTATCTGATGTGATTTTCTGGACTGGTACTGAACAAGGAATGGAAGTAAACCTTATTGTTTTTGATTCAAGATTAGGCCTGTCGCGATAAACAATAAATCAATTAATCGCATGATAAATGAAAATTACCTCATTTTCATTTATCAGCTTTATTGTTTCTTCATCTCTTTCTACTGAAGACA